TTAATGAAATATATTGACAGATAATAACACATATCGTACAATGTGATGACTAAAATTCTTTCTAGATAATGATAAAAATGTTACAATATATTATAAATAATTTCTTATTCCTTTTATAACGTAACATTGCAAAGCATTCGATTAATGTAACATATTAAACAATCAGTGTTCAAATATTTTTCTTATTACAGGATTTTCATTCCTTTGCATTATTTTTGATAAATAATTTATTAAGGTTATTAAAAATGTATATTGTTTTCATGAATAAAAAGGTGTTAATATTGTCTATATTGTAATAATGTGTTACTTTGTGCACAAAGTTATTAAGAATAAAGTTAGTACACAAATACTCTTTTCATCTATTGTAGCCTATTGGTTAAAAGTTTGGATTACTTGCCGATTTCCGAATCTGTAAAATTATATCGTGTGACAATGTTTTCTCTGACTCAAAGCGAATATATTTAGAAACAGCAACTGGAACTATTACGACGCTATTTGTGGTTGCTTAAATCTAGTGACTTAACCGGTATACCTGTATCTTGAACAATTGAGCCACTCATTAGCGAAATCAGTTGATGCTACAAAACAAAAAGTGAAAAAAAGTGATGCAATAGCTATACATTAATTTTTAAAGTTTTTCTTTAAATAGAAAATTAAATAATTACTATAGAACGTATTTTTCTTCATTATCATAGGTGTAGCTTTAATCTAAAGAATATGTAAAATGTATAAAATAGTATAACTTAGAAGTAATGTTTATTATTGTTGCCAGTTTTGAATGACCAAAAGAATATTTGTTTGAGCCATTGAAACGCATTAACAATAAAATCTGAACAAATTCAAAAACTGGAGTTATTCGATTTTTCCAATGTGTAGCTCAATTCATAGAGTGATTTCAATCTTTTAATGCATGATGTAAGAACAAGTTTCTGCAGTTATATTTTCAGCTATTAAAAATGACGAAAGTATACTGCGATTTGCATTTGCCCAAAAAGTGCGTTTTTCCATTTGAAATGTTCGTGAGATAAAAATTCAACGAAAGAAATTCTGATTACACATCTCTATATAACTTATAGCTAAGTTATAGATAGTAAAGATAATTATTAAATACTCTTACTGGTTTTTAATATGAAAATTTTATGCATGTATAGCATATAAATACATGCTATACTTCTTCAAAGGAATATTCATAATAACTATATAAAATCTTCAATAAAAGATTTGACTAAACACGAATGGATCGCGCGATTACAATTATGCAATTTGCATATACACCAATACGAGTCATTAATATAAGGCAGACACTATCTGAATAAATAAAGAAGGAATTAAATTTAAAGTTACTGATAAAATAATTAAGGAAGTCGACGAAAAGAAAGTGCAAGCATTTATGTAAATACATGCAGATGGTTAATCATTTTCATTATGATATTGAAAACACATAAAATATATTAAGTACCGGAAGAAGTTCGTACGGCTTTTTTGTTAGCAATAAATGGAGGTCTGATTTCAATCAATATTTAATTTAATGAATAATATTGGTATTAGCAGCAAGTTATGTTTATGCCGTTGGTATCAAATAAAGTAAAATTATTTTACAAAAACGTTCTCTTAATATAATTTAATAAAAACTTTATATTTCGGTCAATTTTGATGTGAAGTTTATAAAATTTTTACACAATATTAAAAACATGTTACTGTTAATATTATCTTGATACTCAAAGAGTTAAATTTTAATTCAAAAATTTGCACAAACATTTTCCGGTACCTAATGATATTGATAAGCTGAATAACTTACAAAGTCGAATATAAAGAATGTATTGCATCGGTGCCCTTGCCGCAGTGTCCAGGATGCTTCCTCTGGTAGCCAGGAAGCAGATCGAAAATTCGACTAGCATGGAGAGGATAAAAATTACCAAGTGTCCTACAACGTATTCCCAGAGAAGGAAGATGCACGTAACGCTGCGATCCCATTTGAGAATCCCCAGCAGAATCCCCAGCACTGTCACCCTGTAACATAACCGATAAAAACCTCCATGAAAAAAAAACTGTCCGTGTTCATAGGTATATAGTGATATATACCTATATACATTTCACCGAAGTATCATGACTATCCAATCACTTATTGCAACGTGGACGAGTTGCGTTCTGAGCACAGAAATTCTCCTGTTCTTTCGATTCCTGTTCACACAGTTACGTTTTTTCACGATAAAATTGAATATGAAGTTCCTCTTCATCACTTTTTTCTTCATCGCTACTGGACGATAAAGGTTTAGATACTTTTATGACATCAGAGCTTTTATTAAAGCTTCAATCTGTCTCAAAGCTAGACATAAACGATTTTACTTAATAAAATTAAGTCATTAACAAGTGATACTTCATTTCCTTCAATGTGCTGAGTGTTTTAGTGAATTACACATTGATGTGTTTGTTAAATGTTTAGAAAATATATTTTGTAATTTTCTAACGATTAAAAGCTTAATTATTAGAAAGAGAACAGAGGAATGTACAATATAAGTTATACAGTAAAATATACATTTTTAATTAAAAAATATGCAATATAATGTAATATCATAGTAGAATATATATATATATATAACAATTATGCAATGCATAAAAGGATCACATCATTGAACAAATAGAATTCGATTAACACGTTGAACGTTGCATGATTTCACGTAGCAGAATACATAAAATGAAAAAAATATTATATCAAATTATTTCATTGAATCGTTTTATTATTATTGCACGTTTATCTTACGGAATGTCACCGTATTAGGTAACATTATTTATAATATAAAAATATTTGCAAATAATCATTGTTAAATTGCTTGAGTTATAATAACTCGATTTGATCGGGGGTTACCGGTGATCCCCATGGCATTCAACGTGTTAAAAACAAAAACATCTGTTTTACAGTGAGCACATCACTGCCCCGCTTTGAGAAGTGTGTCGGTCCCTATCATTTGCACTTGGTAGAACAATAATATTGTTTAAATTCAAAACATAGTGTTGCTCGCTTAGCTGTGGTCGATTTAGAACCTTATCGTTGCAGCTATTGAGAGAAGTGGATTTCCAGGAATTATCGACTGTTTTCTTTCTCTGATTCGCTCGGCTCTAAATGAATCAGGAATTAGAGAAAGAGAGGAAGAGAGAGGAGCACCGAGTGTGAATGCGATACGAAACTGCTGATAACGGGGCAAAAATCACCATAGTTACGCGAACACTGCAGCGCTGTGCCGCGCTTTTTTTACTTCGGACAATGACTGTAGGTGTTGGGAACTCGAGAATAGATTCAAGAAGCATTATTCTATTTGTGTCGCGACTATATTTGTCTAAAATATTTAAGTCAATGAAGTTTCGTCAACCGAGTTGTTTAAATAATAATCATTGACTGTCTGTAACAAATTATTTCATCTTTTCAACAGATTTATTAATTTTTACTTTTATTTGTATTTCATTAATATTTCCACTTTAGATTACATTAATTCAAATTGATTCATCTCCCTTCAATATAATAGCTATGGCAGTGTTTACTTTCGTAACTACAAAAAAATGATTTATTTAATAGTAATAATAAATTTTTATTTATTAGAAAATATAAGTTTATACTTTAAGAAGAATATAAAATTGTTGTCATTACATGCATGTATTAGACAATTTAAAGTGAAAGCGGTGGAATAAAACCTATAATACGGGACATTTTCATTTCTAACATACATAACATCAAGTTAAAGACATGGCAGACTTCTAATTAATAAATACGAATATTACTCAAACGATTATTTAGTATTATAAATAATTACTTAACCAAGAAACTAATAACAATAATATGACTTTGATGAACCCAAATGTTGAAATAAATTAGAAGGGAACCAGTAAATAACGTTATATAGATATAATAATAAGAAAATTGTAATCTCTTCAAAATAATAAAAAAATTATTACTTTATTAACGGTGTGAGTGGATCCAATAATTGGTAAAGCTGACTAAGATATTGTGAATTATCGACAACGCTTAGCTGTGTAACAAGAATTATCATTTAGTAATCATTAACATAATAATGACAACCTACCAATAATACGATCAACTGATCAATAACCAATCACATAGCAAACGCTTCAATTTCCCTTTGCATCCCCTTAGCAACCCCTGTAAACCGCAGGTTCGTTCGACAAACTCATAGACATAAATTATAAGAGAAATTCTACCCATGATACGTAGTATCGGCAGTATAAAAAACTATCATATATCGAGCAGTATAAGTCCGTCCGTCAGTACTTAGAGTTTCGAACACACCGGAATCCACATGACATTTACCAGCCCAGTTTAAACACATTTCGCCCGCGTCATATTTCATTGTCGCCTTCCAGCGTAATATTTATAGCCCACTTGTTCGAACACGCGTTCGTTTCGAGAAAATCCGTTATAAAATAGGGTACCATTCTCTTAAGGTGTCCACCATATTTTATATAAATGAATAAGTACGTAATTGCAGGTACGATATATATAAACCGACATACTTGCGTTGAAAGTTGTTTCTGATTTTACTATAGACGAGCTATTACGGTCGCACAATGTGTAGAGAAGCAATAACTTATGACCAGAAATCCTATTTTTAAAGTAAGTTTATGTGATTGCGTGTAACATCGCCACGTATGACACTAGTGACTCTATAAAAGTTCAAGTTTATTAGCTAAACTTTCGTGTTGCTTGCAAAATCGGTTCTTTTTATGAGCACGAAACGCACCGTGTTGTCCATATATTTTCACAATGTACGTTACCCTTTGATATAATATTTAGGTGAAAGACACGTTTGAACAGGTGGAATATGTAGTATTTGAAAAATATTTCTGGATGAATGATCGTGAAGATTCTTTTTCTTATTTTAATGTATTCAAATGCAATTATGTCAATGTGATTGTAACGTTATTATTATATACAGAAAGTTCTGATAATTTTGTTTATCTAGAATATTGCTATTAATTTAAAGCGTTATAGAAGTTTTATCGTTTTATAGAAAGATATTGAGTACACAATAAAAAATAATAGATTTAACGATTATATCAATTCGTTAATATACTGTACAGTTTTTACTTCCAATCACAGGTATCTCCAGTAATTGTTGTCATAACTAAAATCTCTGAAAACTGATACATCTTATATGATTAGTAACTTCAAGTGCAACGGATTAGAAGATATTCTAACAAAAGAATTTCAGAAATTCGAATTTTTATTTTCAATCTTTTAAAGATTTATACCCTTAAGAACACATTAATAAATATTCTTAATGAAATTGAAAAAATTTTGCGTATTACAACTTTTTACAAAAGAGAGGAGCAAATACATACTTCACAACGAAGAATTCGGTTGCTCCTGGCTCTTTTCAAATGTATTTTTATTGTGTGATATTACGTCTCGCAGAAGCGAATGCAAATCGGTTTTGGAACAGATTTATGTAGATTTGACATCGATCGATCCGCAGTAGAGACGCCAGGATTCCTGCGCGTGGATCAACAATAAGATTTCGAGCTTCTGCGAGTGGCATCTTACTTTCAACCATGTATTCTTTGGGAATAACGTTGAAAAGTGTTATATATATATCGGTTCGTTCATTTAACGAGGTCTCTAAATCCCTTTTAAAACAAATGGACGTTATAAGTATAAAAATTGGATCACAAGTCGAAAAGCTTAAGTGGAAGCAAAATGCATTGTGCATCATCGCCACGAACCATCGTTGTACAAAAGAGTCTAAAGGAGCCAGAAGAGTGCGTAAAAAGAAAATGCCAACGATAAATGACAAGAACAAGGAAGCTGGAGGCTTTACATTAGTTTAGAAGTACCTATATACTTTTCATGAAGAATTAACTACATACGTATTTCGAAGACTTTCCTATTGCTGAAAATATCTTCTCAATTGGTGTTGATAAAAAGAAATGATGAACTGCACTTTTTATATAACTGTATTTTTATGCTAAAAATGTCACACTATTGAAATTGAACAGCTGTTATAAAAACGATGAAATTTTGAGATTTCGGAAACTTCGCAAGTTTTTATTTTATCATGTAAAAATATTATATATGGTAGTTATATTCATATCCATCAAAAATTCTTTTTATTTTTTGATTTTCGGTGATGAGCTAAGTAAAATCACCATTAACAAGATGAAGCTTCCCAGAATATTTTTCATTAACACATGATTATCTATTACAAAAACACATATTTAAAATGTGATTAATAATTACTTTTAGTTATAAATAAACGCAGCAATAAAACAAAAAAGAATTCATTATTTGGTGTCTTCAGAAGAAAGGCAAAGAAAAATTGGCTCGTATGTATAAAAAAAGTAAATGTTACATCTCTTATGTCTAATTTTTTACTAGTACCAGGCAGTAAATACTGGAAAATCATAAATAAATACTACAAAAACTTAGCAGAAATTAAGACAAACGAGTGGTATAGTTGAAATTATAATACAATAGTATTTACTTGACATTTTTAGTAAATACTAAGTGTTATGCATTGAATTTTAACACTAGAACTACTAGATGGGTCAAAATGATATATATTAGATATTACATTTGCACCTTTTAAAGTTATTAAAAAGTGACAAATGATTCTCTGAGAAATTAATGAGTAAATCGATTTAGATAAACACATATAAACTAGCACATGAGCACATTGGAATCTCCATAAATGTATTTTTATCAGTTCTATAAGAAAATAACAGTCAATTTTACTGTTCGGTAGTTTTAGTGTTAGGTATTTACCAGAAAATTCAGTAAACACTGTTCCTAATATATACTTCATTCTTTGTGTATATAGAATCGAGTATTTACTTATAAAATCTGTAGTAAAAGTTCATATTTCTTATGCATACAACCTATTGAGTAACAATAAGTATTGAGTAGCGCAATGACTAGAATAGCCCTGTAATTTTCAGGAAATCGCGAGAAATAAAACCGAAGAGTGGCTCGGCACGTTCCGATAACTTTAATATCGCCTGAA